TTTTTTTTTAGTTGCATATGAGGCATTCACATTCCATGATGCACCTTATTGGGCATACAAGCAACATTATTTGGTAGTTTGACTTGTATGACATACTAGGACTGGACCATACACATTGACAATCAGCTACATAGGTTGTTAAATTGCACATGTGAGTAGACGTTCATGCACGCCTGCAATCCAATTGTACCACCAAAGTGTCTCCCTACTGTTTATTTTATTTGGTGAACCAGGTTCAGTATAACTCCCATGCTTGGCAGTCGTTAAAAGGAATACCTGGTTCAAAGCTTGGAAGAACAGCAAGCCCTAAATCGATAAATACAACAAAATGAAAACTAAGCCTTTTTAGTTTTTTTTGGAAACATGCATTTATGAACTACAGTACAAGGAAACCTTTTTTTAAAAATCTGATAAATGTAATTATGCAGTGATTAAAAAAAAAAAGTACACGTTTAAATCAGTAATTAGCGTAAGTTGTCCATGCATCAGCTTCCTGACAAACTGGGAGAAATTAAAAAAGAGAACTATGGCGTAAATGTTTTTCCCCATAGTTCTCTTTGTGTCACAGGAGGAGGTTAGTATATGTCCTCCCGTGATCCTAAAAGCTCAGTATATAGCGGGCTATTGCCCGCAATATACTGAGAGCGCCGCAGTCGGGACGGATCCCGACAATACTGTCGAGATCCGCCCAGCTGGATGCCCAGAGCCAGCTATGCCCGACCCCTCCCCCGTTCGTTCCTCCACTCAACGCTGGAGGATCAGAGAGGGGAGGGCGGAATCTCTGCGGGGAGCGGTGACAGTCACCGCAGGGAGATGATCGGCAAGTGAGCGGATCAGCTGCATGTTTCTGCTCACTTCCCGATCGATAGAGCCGACCTGTGACAGCTTCTTTGTCACAGGTTGGCTGGAACTATAAGGATGAGTGGAAATCACTCACTTCATAGTTCTCCTTTAGCCAGCACTCGGGGCAATCAGGTTCCAATGCGGTCTTGTATAGGGATCGAAAACGTATTGCGGCTACTCCTTTTCACTAAAGTGGAGGTTGGTCAACTGGTTGTCCTGTCTTGCCACTCGATTCACTGGCTTAACAGAATTTGGAAGCTTGGCAGCCACAGCACTTCACATATACAGTATGCATTTACCATCATTCAGATGCTTGATTTGCCTTTAGTTCAGCATTAAAATAAGGGGAAAACAGCCATATTTAGCTACATAGAATGGTGGCACGGATCTGAAGATTATCACTCTGAAATCGTGAATAAAGGCAGTGAACCAGGCAGGCTCTTGCCAAGGCATTCTGTGCTTCTTTGGCTTTTGGATTCCAATATCTTGTCATCTTTGTATGCTTGATTGGTCTCCCACAGATTTGAAAACCTTATGTACAACTTTTGGATTAGTTCCTGTTTTTATTTGCTTGGAAGAACACCACTACAGCAGGGTAACAGTTCATGTTAAATTAATGACTCTGAAGTAAATATCAGATATGGAATGCGACACAGATAATGAACGCATTGAAGCTTTCTGAAAATACCACTGAACAAGCAATCACATTACATGCAAGGTACAAAGACAAGTACAAATACACCCAAATTTACAAATGACTGACTAATACAGGACACCAACGTGTGTGAAGGGATACACAAATCATGGTCTAAAGGTGTTGATATTGGCCTAACTATGTCCTGAGCATTCTCAAAGTTGTTATAATAAATGATCAGCAAAAGATTTTAAAAAAAGGTCTCCCTGCAGGGGGGTTACCTATAATCTTACCTCTAGTGATGTGCAGACCTTCAGGAAGAGCAGTTAATTTTTTTTTCTTTGCTTTTTCCTACTCTGTTATTTCTCAGTCCTCTCCCCTCAAACACCATTTAGTTCTCTTCTTCATACAGCTTTGGCCTGATGAAGCATAATCTTGAAATGACACCGATTTATGATCTGAGGATATTATATTTGTACACATTCTACGAAACCTCCTAGGGGGGAATTCTACTTTAATTTTTTATTTGTATTGGTTCTGTATTATTTTCTTTTTATTATTCAAAATCTAATCTACATTAAAAGAAAAAAGGGAGCAGTGAATCAATCATACAGCTTAAGAGACATTAGATGTGTTGTATACATATAAGGATAAGGGCACTACTGCTCAACCTAGTGGTGGTGCCCACGCCAATACCAAAATTGTATATATAGCGATATGCACCTCCAAATGTCATAAGCAAGTGCCTGACTGTATGGCCTGCACAGCACCTCTGCAGCTTGCCCTCTGTTAGAACTACAATTGGTTACAGAAGCCAGGTACAGCTTCACAAATGGTGATGGCCACACATTACACAAGTAAAATACCCAGTTCTTTCCACATTTCAGTGCATGCTACCAAACTACTAAAAGGCTTTGAAATCAGCGCCTTGCACCACATTGTTCATGCAACACTATATTAAAGGCATATTTTGCAAAAAGAAAAGTGCACCCAAACTGCAAACAGAAAAAAAATGAACATTCTTTTTTTTTTTTTTACATTGGAGTCTGTAAAGCCCTCCTATTCCTCCAGTCCCAGGTCTGTACTGGGGTACTGACCTTCGGGTATGGATCTGGAGGAAATGATCAATGGACTGGAAGTTTGAGGGTAGGGGGCAGCTGGGGAATAGAACCATGTTCCAACCCAGATATAGGTGTAACATGGAATAGTATGAAAGGTGGAATTAGCCTTTAACAGGTAAGATGGCCAGTTCAACACCCAACAGATTTCTTAGATATGTTGCAGTTCCATTTTTGCGTTTTATTCTCTGCTGCAAAATCAAAATTATTCAACCCTCATTGCAAATCAGGTTTATTGGCAAAATCTAAGCTGTTTGCAATGAACAAATCAAACAAAAGCAATTGAAATAGGTCGGCACAAAAAATGTTTCAAGTGGCGCCCCCAAATTCAACTGAA